ACATGTACACATGTAGGTAAAATACATACAGGGAACATCAGAAATGACATTTTTCCAGGCATATTTTGACTCTTAAACAAGAATGGTGTTTTCCTTATTACAGTGTGTACAGTCATGTACGGTACCTAGTCTGTAAATGTCTTCAGTTGTAAAATAAATTGTTTGCCCTTGGGAGTAAAGATTATTTCCAAACTGTAGTGATAATAATATTATGACTAATAATACATCAATCATTAAGTAAACTGAAAAATTAAAAGTTAGCTAAGTTATTATAAGTATTTATAGTGAGCAAAACTTACAATTTCTCCATTCCTTCCCCAGGAAGCTAAAAAATAAAATAAAAAATAAATAAAATCACAAGGTTCCTGCTCTTTTGAAACAAGTCCACAACTAAATGGGATGAGAAAAATTTGTTAAAAAACTACACATAAAAAACGTCTCCGCTCACATCCTTGATAGTCCCTCAAGTCCTCATCAGCAGTCCTGGGTGCCCTGTGCTGCATGTTGAACCACTCATCAAAATCATGAGATGGTACAGCAGTCTTTGCATTCCATGGAGGTTTCTCGTTATCATTATAGGTATGCGCTGCATTTAGTAAACAGGAGAATCAAACATATTTAAACATCAAAATATTTGGGTTCATTCCTGTGGGTTTCAGCCCGGGCAGAGCTGGGACCCACACAAGGATCCAAGAATTTAATAGGTAAAGTCTGGATTCTACTAAGTGGTTGATAAGTTTGGTGCTCAACTCCAGCTTTTGTGCCATAAAGCAAATCAGAGGAGAATTTCTATTCCCCACTCCCACCTCAGACGGGATGTCAGTCCATTTCAGGGTACTGGTAACTTCACTGCATTTTAATTCAACAATACTATTAATATACTGATTGGAGAGAGGCAATGGCAATGCAATGTCCTCAGACAGGACTTGAACCTGGACTGCTTGATCCAGAATCCAGCACACCATTAGGCTACTGCACCTCTAATATCTTTGCGATAAGGCCACCAACTGCCTACTCCCAGCATGTCAAAGGCACACCATACATACATGTTCTGTACCTTTTCGAGGAGGTGGCCTTGTGTTGTCTCTGTCCATAGCTTCAATACCCTTTGCTGGCTTGCTTCCACTCAACCAGGGGCGAGGGTAGTCTCTGCCGGCAGTGGCTTTAGATGCACTGTCTGGCCGGAATTTTGAACCTTCAGTGTGCGAGTCAGGACCAGCCCAAGACTTGGCCAAAACACTTCTGCCTATTTGCCAAGTAAAGGTAAAATGGTTATCTGCTTATGACTATTAACAAACCCTAGACATTATTGTCTGACAGGCTAAAGCATGGTGCCCCAAAAAATTCTCAACAAAAAATTCAGAGTTTGCAGTTGAGTATCCACTACCGGTTAGACTTAGGTATCAGTTTAACCAAGTGCGAGGCCTGCTTGGGAAATATTGGCCCAAGTTCAATACAGAAAAGCCCGGAATTAAGGGCCATAATATTCTCCCAGTACGGTCAGAGACTGGAAAGATTTCAAACTTCCAGATTGAACATGGCCTTTACTCACATTTGAAGTTCTTGACAGAAAAGAAGAACAAGAGAATTAGTCTAAGAAGAGAATGTTCAGAGAGAAACAGTTGGTTACAGGTAAGTTCATTATTTGGAAAACTGTGTAAACCACAAAACAACCAGACAATCTTTAATAGTGGCGGCAAGGGGTCATTATTTTTGAGACAGTGCCTAGTCCAATACTTAAAGAATTTTGGGTAAGCAATGGAGCAATATGATTGGTCAATTTTAGTCAGTGGCCCTCTGAACTAACTTGGTTGTTAAATGAAAAGAGTTATGAAATGAGCGTGTACAGATGTTGACTGCCTGGCTACCTTCATCAAAAGAGTGTTGCCCAACTGGTGTCCCTGTAAGACCCATTGATCGTGCAAATGACGTCTTTGATCCAGATGGTGGCAGTGATGATCCAGGACCCTATCAAAAATAAAAATTAAAAAAAATTGGTATAAGTTCGTTTACATATTTTGACAAACCTGTTAAGTTTTAAGAATAATTTTATTTATCTGGCATGGGCGCAGGGATGGCACTGCAGTGAGAGTGTTTGCCTCCCACCAACGTGGCCCTGGTTCAATTCTGACCCAGTGCCACACAATGTATGTGGGTTGAGTTTGTTGTTAGTTCTTGCCTTGCTCCGAGGGTTTTTCTCTGGGTTCTCTGGTTTTCCTCTCTCCACAAAAACCGACATCTCCAAATTCTGATTCAACCAAGATATTAGGACCCGCATGAAAACCAGATACATGTGCAGCTGTAAGGCTGATGTGGCTTCCTCTCTAGATATCACAACTGATTTCATGTCATCGTCAAACTATTTGATATATCCAAGAAGTGTTTACTTTCAATTGAGACATATCCAAAATTCAGTATAAACTATCTGGGGTTTATCTAATTCTCAGGCTATTACCAAGGAA